AATACGGTTTGATTATAATTTATAAGTTTAATAACTGAAACGGTATTGGCTAGGCGCAAGTAACTTGATCAGTTATACTTGTGTAGGATAAGAAGGATAAGACTTGGTGGTAATTGAGTATAGACAAAGTCTCAACGAGAAAAAAAAATGTTTCGTATGTAGACATGCTCGTGAGTTGTGACTATGATGGAATAGATTATGAACGTAGTGATTTCCGGTTTGATATTCATGATAGTTTTTGTCATAGCATCTGCGCGACGTCAATTTGAAACCTTGACAAAATAAATCGGCCAATAACGTTAAACGTTTTCTCATACACAAGAATACAATGAACGGTTGGTTTGTGAATTGGCCCAATTGGGAAGTATACACCAGCAGGATATCTCATTTTCTAGTGTTGCTGTGGATGGATTAATTTTGATCAATTGTCTTATTTTGTAAAAATGAGTCATTTATAACAAGTCAATTTGAATTATCTTCTTACACCCAAATCATTAAAACTATCTCAAAACTAATCGATTCAATATTCTCCAACCCAAACTAATTCTTCCAAATTTTATGCTGACTAACGAATCAATTTAATCTCATATCTCAAAAGTCAAAACGAAACAATTGACTCAAATGAATCCATCACGTTTTCATCGTACAAACCACCCATTGAATTTCCGGGACAACATGAGAGGTCTTACGGATTGGGTTGATCCGAAATTTGATGTCTATAAGGACAAAGCCCAATGTCTCAAAGCCTACACCTCATACCCTTGTCCTTATTTGGGCCCTAAAACAGTAATCATATGGTAGGCTATAGACTATAGGTTCTACTTCTCTTCTAACCTATGATCCACTTCCATATAGTAGTCCAATATTTGTACACATTCACATTGAATTTTAACATGTTTGGAAATATGTTATATTTGTTTTGAATATATTTTCTTAATGGGCAAAACGTCTCATAATAGAAAATCAAACAAATTAACGAATACTTAAAAAAAAGAGGAAGAAAAAACAGTCATGACCAGGAGAATGATATGAAATACTGCTAAGCAACCGACTTATAAAAAGTTACTATAAAAGCAAATGATGCACAAATCAACTTCACAACAACGTTGTTGTTTTTTAGATGTAATATGTTAAATGCATCATACCTGGTAGCGAAGTCAAAATTAAAGCGAGTGAGATTAACAATTTTCAAAATCATTATCGAAATTGGTTTAGGGTGTTGGAAGGAGAGACTTGATATTCTATCATATATTCTGTCATTTTTAACGTTTGTTTATTAGTTTTTCACATATTATAACCTAAATCAAATATTGATACGGTTGGGAATTTGGCTGAATCGGACTAACCAAGTCAAATCGGTTTTGGGTTGGACCGACCAACCGGTTTGGTATTAGACCGACCGAACCGATATTCTAATTCCGTGAAGGGACACATCCCTTTGGCCTAGTGGCGGTTGCATTATTTTATGGATAAGGATAACTTTATGGATAGAGGCAACCTTCATATGGATAAGGATAACCTTTCATATGGATAGAGGCAACCTTTCATATGGATAAAGGCAACCTTTCGTATGGATAAAGGCAACCTTTCATGAAACAATGCATGGATTCGGCCCCTATAAATATGTGTGGGGTGGATGATGCCACATACCATCAAACATATTCTTCTTCTTTCTTCCAAAATTTCTAAGTATGCTTTAGTGTTCTTGAGCCTGGAACCTAAAGTGGTGATAGTTTTATCCTCGGGAAAAATTTCCTGTAACCCAAGGCTTTGTAGAGGGTGGAAATATTCTTTTCGGAAAGTGAACATTGTTCACGACTCTATCACAATCCTGGTCACCCGGTCTCGGGCTATCTTACGTATACCCTCGTCCCTAAAAGTCCCAACAATCGAAAAGAATAGTTTTCCGGTACGATGGCTCGAACCGCTCTTTACAAGAAACCGGTTCCGGTCTATGGAATTATGAGAATGTTCGATGATGGGTTTTTCATCGATGGCAGTAGAAGATGGGTTTTCTTCGTACTTGTCTCATGGTGTATTCCATATCCGGAATGTAACTTGGAAGAGGGATGATTCGAAGATGAGGAAGAAGGAGAATGATTCGTAAAATGGAGAAATAGAAGAATGAAAATTGTCTTTGGGTAGGTCACATACTCAATGGTTAATTAGTCTAATTCTCTGTTCGACATTTACGAAGTTCTAGATAAACTTGGATTTGTTTAGTGGTTTGGTGGTGTGATTTTGTCTAGTGGTTTATGTTATTTTAAACCAAGGAGACAAAATTGTATATACAATGTTTGATGATTCTGGTAATAGAGTCGTTGTGTTTGTATGTAGATGACATATTTATCTTTGGGGCCAATCAAAGATAAGTGATTTTGTCTAGTGGTTTATGTTATTTTAAACCAAGGAGACAAAATGTGTACACAATTTATGATGATTCTGGTAATGAAGTCATCGTACATTTGTATGTATAAGACATGGTTATCTTTGGAACCAATAAAAGATAAGTGAACTTTGATAAAAAGTTGTTATTTCAATTCTCCATGTAGGACATGGGGGAGGCAAATGTGATTCTGTGTATTGAATCAAGCGGAACGCCAAAGAAGAGTCATTCTCTCAATTTTTCTGCATGAGAAGGTACTTGCATAAATTCCATAGTATGAATTGTAGTGAGTTAAAGACCCCAATGGATCCAAGTATGGAACTTATGGTTAATACTGGAAATCAGTTTTACAATTGGAGATGTATGCATGACTTACATGATGCTAGATATCTCATATGCGATAGAACAATTAAGTTGGTACGTGATGAATCCTAGTTCTCATCATTTGAAATGAAATGAGGCGTGTACTAGGATATGTCAAATGCACACTGTATTGACTTATAGTGGCTTTCCATCAATTTTGGAAATGATTTGTTGATGTTAGTTGGATTTCTCATGTTAAAGGTGATACTTCAACATTGAGATGGGTCCTCTTGCTTGGGAGAGGTGCCATAATTTGGGCCTCTAGAAAGCAAACTTGCATCACTAAGTTTCACTATGGAATCAAAATTTGTGTGGCCTTGATTTCTCTTAGAGAAGAGACATAATTGTTGAGAGGTTTGGTTTATGACATATATTTATTGCTAAACCAATCTCACCTATTACTATCTTTTGTGATAGTAATGCTAATTTGGCTAAGGCATATGACCAGACTCGAAATAATTTGGTTGATCATTTGACGAAGTGGTTAACTAGTGACTTGGTGATCAAGTATGTGAAAGGGATGGGTTAAATTCCATATAATTTCTGGTAATGGGACACCCAATTCCCCTCTAATACAACGTTAGAGGCTGAATTCAATGTGGAAAGCTTATTATCAGAAATTGAAGCACACAATTTTTCATCCCGAGGTATGTGCTTGTTATCCTGCATGAGAGAAGAGGATGAAGTTCAAAACTTCTTAATTGAATCTTTGAAAAAGTGTATTATGTGGGTACACGAATAAGAGATTCAACCTACGTAAGCATGAAGTGTAGCCGCTTCAAGAAACCCGGACTTTGGTTTCGTGTGCGCTTGTGAGAAGGATTGGACACATGGCGGATAATAGTGTCAAGGTGCTTAGAAGTTTTGAAAACTTAAGTGTATATTATCTTCGAATATTCATATGAGTCAATGGGTTCAATCGTTACCGACACCCTTTGTATTCGAGTATTCGTCAAGTGTAATATACTAAGGTGAAAATTCAATCGTCACGACATTTTCATTTATGCTTAAGTTTTGTTGGAAGAATGTTGTGATTTTAGTGAATTCTATGAATACACTAAAATGGGGGAGGAATGTTGGAAATTTGGTTGAACCGGACTAACCAAGTCAAACCGGTTTTGGGTTGGACCGACCAACCGGTTTGGTATTAGACCGACCGAACCGATATTCTAATTCCGTGAAGGGACACATCCCTTTGGCCTAGTGGCGGTTGCATTATTTTATGGATAAGGATAACCTTATGGATAGAGGCAACCCTTCATATGGATAAGGATAACCTTTCATATGGATAGAGGCAACCTTTCATATGGATAAAGGCAACCTTTCGTATGGATAAAGGCAACCTTTCATGAAACAATGCATGGATTCGGCCCCTATAAATATGTGTGGGGTGGATGATGCCACATACCATCAAACATATTCTTCTTCTTTCTTCCAAAATTTCTAAGTATGCTTTAGTGTTCTTGAGCCTGGAACCTAAAGTGGTGATAGTTTTATCCTCGGGAGAAATTTCCTGTAACCCAAGGCTTTGTAGAGGGTGGAAATATTCTTTTCGGAAAGTGAACATTGTTCACGACTCTATCACAATCCTGATCACCCGGTCTCGAGCTATCGTACGTATACCCTCGTCCCTAAAAGTCCCAACAGATACAACACATTATGAAGAACACATAACTCTGTTAACCCGTCACAGATTATACTAATGATGTATAACTAGCAAAACCAAGTATGCATGGTTTCATCCGTAATATACTTGAACATTAGTAGCACAAATGGTGGAATATCCCTTGTTTGGAGTGTTGGAACCCACTATTATATTGCCAAATCGAATACCGTTCGTTGAAAGATAATAAACTTGAGCCTTCGTATAAATTTATGTAGATTGAATCATCAAGAAGATAAGACATAAAAATTTCATTTGACAAACTAAAGCTTCAATAAAATCTTATACGAAATAATCAATTTTAACGGTTGTATCGAAATTACGAATAACATATCAAAGATGTTCAAACTAGACAAACTATTAGTCTTCATCCAACCAACACGACTTAAGTTGAAAAGCTTGAATATAAATGAAACAAAAATGGCGGTTTGAAAGTTGAAATTCAACCACGTAGAAATTTAATTGCAATTTTTAATTAAAGTTAACAACAGAGCAGGGGGAACCATGTCTGAAAATGAATTTCAGGCGGCGTGCGCGTTGTATAGCGGATGAAGTTGTCGTTTTGTTAGTTTGGCCAGGAGAGAGAATAGGAAAGAACAAGAGGGACGCGGGATCGGCCTTTTATGGGGGAAAAAAGAAAAGGAGGTTCAAAAGAAGGAAAGGTTGAAGAAGGAATTCGAGCGGAAAGGGAACGAGAAAGAGAAATTAAGGTGAATTCGGGATCTTCGCCTACGCAAGTGGAGATCGTTGGCCGGAAAGAGGGAGCGAAGAGAACGCTAGGGTTGCCGCAGAGGCGAGCTGTGAGAGCCTCCGCGGCGGCGCCTTGTTCAGCTCCGCTGCCATTGTTGTCGCCCGTCGTAGGTAGTAGGGAAGAAGTGGTAAGAGGTACCGAGATCGAGAGGGAGGGAGGGAGAAAAGAGGAGCGGGCTGTCCGGTCTCCATTATCGCCACCACCGCCACCAAGCTTCGTTCTCCGTCGCTCTCGTCGCTGCTGCCGTTCCTCTCTTCCCGCTTCATATTCGTTGCTCTGCGGCCCTCGGATCGTCCAGTAGTTTGGTAAAGCTCCTTCCATGATATGATGAAATCGAGAATAGGTGACTTGTCGATTTGCTTTTTTTGGAAGAATGCTTGATGAGTTGGGAGCATTTGTTGTTTGATTGGTGTTTGTTGCTTGGAAACTGCTCCGATCAACTTGAATATTGATGTTTTGTGTTCTATTGCTGATATAACTGGACAATGTTGGCTGTAATGGACAAGTAAGAGACAGGGAATGGCTTCTCTCCGTAGTCCTCTGCCCAGGAAATGTGAAAGCGATTGCTTTGTCCTTTGATCTTCGGCTGTATGTAAGCAAAGTGCTTGCCCATTGGTTCATTATCTTCTAACTTTTCCACCTGCGGTCATTAGTTCAAGTAGATGCGACTAAGTCGTAGACTGGGATTGAATTTGATTTGATGATCTTGGGTTTGTTTTAGTTTTACATGTCGAGTGGAAGGAAGTGTGGTAGCTTTCGTGTCTAGCTTTGTATTTCCTCTGATGTATGAGCTAGCAGCTTACTTCGAGATCATATGGACAGTTGATGCGCAGTTAGTCTTGGATAGTTGGATGTTATTTAATGGATGTTGGTGTTAAAAGCTATTGTCATGATCGTATGCATGATAATTTTATATAAACATGTTTCTTTCCCACGATTGCTCGATTGTCTTTGTTGGATGTTTTAAGTTTTTTTCTTCTGGTTTCTATTTGAGGAAAATGATTCACTTGTTGGTTATGGAAAATTGGATCTCTGCGAGTATGTGGTTAAGCCTTGTCTGACCTGTCACCTCATCCTGGATGTTAAAAAGCTGGATTTCTCGAAATATTGTTAGAAGCGAGGACCCTTCACAGCTCAATGTTGACTTATTAGGCAGGCTTTAGAGAAGCTACAACTTAGTTGTTATTCTTCCAGTTGATTTTCCTACGTGCATCTTATATAGAGCTGTCTACGGGGTCGTACATGTTGCTTTTGAAATTGATGTGATGTATATTTTGTTTCACTTGTCTTTTTCTTTCCCAGTCTTCTGAGTTCTTAAGAAGGTTTAAGTTTTAAGCTTGTCCTGTTCCTTTCTTGTCTTCTTTGTTGGTCTGATCCTAGCCTTTTGCCAATAGATCTGTAGCTTGCTTTGTTTCATTAGACTTTTCCTTTATTACCAAAATGTGATGGGTATGCTTTGGTCTCCTCTTTCACTGCATCATCTGTCTCTTTCCAGTTTTCTCTGATTCCTGCAACTATGTTGGCCATTCTTTGGTTTTCCTCCATTTTACTTGGTCCTTCACATATGAAGTTAATTTTTCCCTTGTTGCTAATTTTGCATATGATTGTATTTGCAGGGTTGACCTCGTCCTTCTGATGGATTGTTAGGCAGGGATCTAGGCACATAGTCTAGTACTTGCTGCTTTCTTCTGCCTGCTTTATCACGTAAATGGGCTGCTTTAGCTCCAAGGTACTTAGGCAGTTTCCAGGACACGAGGATCCAGTAGCTCTTGCTTCACAAACATCTTGTAAGTTGCATTGTTTGCCTTTTAATCTGTGTCCAACCTTTTTGATAGTCCTGATGTGTCTTCCACCTTTTTCTCTGCATGTGAGCATTTTGTAACTGGTGATAATTTCTTAAGCCCTCTCAAGATTAGTAATATAACAGGGGATAAGATCCCTGGCATTATTTTTTCTTCCCCTCTTCAGTTCTGTGGAGTGTAATTCAGTCCTTGGCATTATTTTACTTCACTTTGGTGCGTCTTTGTTGCCACTTTATATCGTTCCAGGTGGAGGATGCTTGGTCTCTCTTTTATGACAGTTTAGCATTTAATCCAAGTCTAAGTCTAATTGTATCAAGTTTATGCAACCTCCTGATCATATGCCACTTTTACTGTGCTGTTTCTTCGTGTTTGGTGGTTATGCTTTCTGGTTTTGGATTATTGAAGTCTCTAATTTGTTTCATTTGAGTTTCTTAGTCAGTGTTAGTGAAGTTGAAGCACTGTTTGAACTATTCAAGAGCATTAGCAGTTCCGTTATTGATGATGGGCTGATAAGCAAGGTATTCTCCAAAAATAGCATCAATTGATGGCCTACCTTGACTGCTTTCTGAAATTGATTTGTTAGAATAGTGCTTATTAGAAGCCTCAAATCGAGGTGTGAACCCATTTGTTCTCAAGCATCTAATCATAAAAGATACATTATTCTCTTCTCTTAAGGCTATGCTATTTTGCGATATGTTGCCCATGCTAAGTACCTCTGTTTTATTGTGGTGCAGGAAGAGTTCCAGTTGGCTCTTTTCAAGAACAGAAAGAAAGAGAACCTCTTCGCAAACAGGGTAATTATTCTTTTCTGAAACTGCTGTCTTTCAAAGACTGGACTTTGGAAATAGGAAAAATAAACGGCCTCTGTCTCACAACCACGATCTTATTAACTCCATTTTGTGCAGATATTTGATTTATTTGATACTAAGCACAAAGGTGTGATTGATTTCGGGGACTTCGTTAGATCACTCAATGTGTTCCATCCTAATGCCCCACAAGAAGACAAGATTGATTGTAAGCTCAATATGCGAGTATTGCAAAGTATCATCTTTTGACTTTTGAGTTTTACTGATGAAGATCATGCCTAACTGAATCTGCAGTTTCATTTAAACTCTATGATCTGGAGAACACAGGATATATTGAACGTCATGAGGTGTGATTCTTTTGCTTTATACTATAGCAAGTCAGTATCTGTTCATTTCAGTAGTGCAGGATTCATATAGCTACATGAACACTAGGTTTGTTTGCCAAGATCATTGCATGGTTTTCTGTATAATTGAAGTCACGATAGCAGCTGGTTATCAATCTTTTTTCATGTTGTTCTCTGTCCTATTGTGTAACCTCTTACCTCTTATTCTCTCTTTTATTCATTCCAAACTGGTAGCTGCTTTTTTAATGCTGTTCTCTGTCCAATTGTGTTACTCTTATTCTCTCCTTTCTTTATTCCTTCCCAAAATGACAGGTTAGACAAATGGTGATTGCTCTTCTTTGTGAATCCGATATGAAGTTAACCGACGAGACCATCGAGATAATTCTTGACAAGGTAAGCTATTGAATAACGCGTCCTTCACATCCACGTAGTTCAACGTTTCACTCGTTTCAATCCCTTCATGCAAACGCCCCACGTCTCCAGTTACCCAAATGTTTTTCTTCCTTCTGGGAGTTTTTGTTGCTAGTCTGACGTCTCTGATTTGTTGCTTATCAATAAGACCTTCTCGGAAGCTGATATAGACAACGATGGGAAGATAGACAAGAGCGAGTGGCATAACTTCGTCTTCAAGAATCCATCTTTGCTAAAGATAATGACCCTTCCCTACTTGAGGTACCTAACCAATCCAATCTTTTCCTTGTGTGCTTTCTTTGTACAAGGCACATAATGTTGTTTTGTTGAACTGCAGGGATATTACCACTACATTCCCAAGTTTTGTTTTCAACTCAGAGGTGGATGAGATTGCTACCTGAGGTGTAAAAAAAAAGAGAAACAGAAGTGAAAAGCTGAACACTTCTTGCTGATGCAAGTTGCAGTCTATGCGAAAGATTGGCTGTTTAATCCATGGAAATAGAGATTAGTAGTGATATTTAGCGGGTGCCGGGTATTGATGATGTGGCGGGGTGCGAGTGATCTGATTCTCTATTTTTTTTGTTTATTTCTTTTTTGGTCCACTTATTTCTAACATCTTACAGAATTCGGCCTGTATTTGAGCCCTCGCTACATACAAAAGAAGAAGAAAAACCGTATTTCCCTGTTACGGAGTTTTGGGTTTGATGTTCCTACTTGCAGAGGAAATGAGGGTGTATACCCATATCATAAATGTTCTTTTTGAGCTTGTGACTAGGGGTGTCCATTCGTGTTGTGTTCGGCTTTTCGGGTTTGGCTAAATTGTAAGTTTGGTCACTTGAATTACTAGTAAATTTCACATTAGCCACTAGAATTACTTTATTCCAACCGTAGTCACTTAAATTAGGTTAACAGTTCAAGTTTGGTCACTGCTCGTTAGACTCTGTTAACTTTGGCTGATGTGGCGGTCAACTCTTATAGTTGACCGTTAAATAAGTGACGTGGCAATTAAAAAATAATAAAATTTTAATTTTTAATAATTTCCACCTCATTATTACAATAAATTAAAAAAATAATTAAAACAAAAATTGTCACAATAATTAAAAAAATGTGTTAGATCTAAGCAAATTCCCATCCACTCCACTGCTACTGGATATGGTTGCTAGTTCCTCTCTTCCTCCAAAGCGATGGAGTTGCACCTATCCTCTCCTTTTGGCCTTTTTGTAGCCTTGTGCATTCCATATGTTCTGTTTTTCCTTGTGGCAACGCGATTTGCGAGTGGTATTTGTGCTAGTTTTTGCTGGAACAGAAGTCTTATTAGACTCCCTCCTCGTATATATGCTTTATTGAGTGCATTGTTAAAAGCAAAATTTAAATTCCAATATTTATTGCAAATTATAGATAACTCAAACGAGCACACCACCCCATCTTTACTTGTCGGCTCGCAGGGCGAGACTTTGAAATCTTGAATGCTCTGTTTCTGACTTTCTGCTCGATCGGGTCTGCTGAATTCGAAGGGTTCTTTCTTGGACTTCTCGGTAACCTTTCATTTCACTGCTTTGAGGCTCGAGATGTGGTCAGGCCATCACTTAGTTCCATTCTTTTCTTTCTTGCAGAGGCCAATAGGAAGGCGCGGATGGAGGCCAGAGACTTAAGCGAGCAGCTGAAGATGACGTAGGGGCGATCCTCCAGCCTCGAGGCGCAGGTTCGAGATGTGGTCGGGCGCCTCATTAGCTGTGTTACAGAGCAGGACCAGTTGAAGGCAGCTCTATCTGGAGGAGAGAGGATCGACAGGAAGGGAATTTGCTTAGATCTAACTCATTTTTTTAATTATTGTTAAATTATTAAAAAAATGTCATTTTTTTGTTTCAATATTTTTTTTAATTTATTGTACAAATGAGGTGGAAATTATTAAAAACTAAATTTTATTATTATTTTAATTGCCATGTCACTCATTTAACAGTCAACTATAAGAGTTGACCGCCACATCAGCAAAAGTTAACGGAGTTTAAGGAATAAAACTTTGCCCATATATTATTGTTTCAAAAGAAGAGTTGTAGTTTAGTGGTGTAGATGCTGTGCTAATTTTAGTTAACTATTTATTATATCTGGGTTCGAACCACCATCCCCACAACATGTTGTATGAACAACTAAAGTAGTTGTGCCAAGAACACTTATGGTATTTATTTGGAAAAAACACATATATATAATACAAACCGTTGGGTGGGTGTGCGGTTTGCAACCAAACCGCCTCGGCCCCTCGCGGTCAGCAAAAACGCACCCCCGGGTGGCGGTTTTCGTGCAAGGGTGATGTTTTTTGAATTTTTTGGAGTTGGGTGCTACTTTTGGAAAAAAGTTTTTAAAAACAATGCTATTTCTGAAAAAAGTCCTATGTATGGGTCAAACTGGTGTACTCTTGGAGTATACTAAACTCCACGTACTCCTGGAGTATACTAAACTCCATGTACCCCTAGTGAGATATCTCCTTCTAGACCATGAATTTAACCGAGTTTGAGGTATGATACTATGCTCAATCGATTTAATTGGAGGGACATACCTCATACCCACAAATAGGGATGGGCAATGGGCGGGTCAACCACTAGACCCACCCGAACCCACCATTACATGTTTGGCTGGATATGGTGGGTGGGTGAGGGTCATCGTTTTCGTCACCCACTAAACTTGGGTGGGTGGCGGGTGAGTAGTGGGTGGGTAGCGAGTGAGCCATTTCCTGTAAAATCACATGATATATTAAGTCGTTAATGCATATTCTATAATAAAACACTATTCTTTCTTATACCAAAACTTCAATCGTAATTGATTCAATTAAATTACAATTATCTTGTATAAATTTTACTTGATTTACAACATAAAATCGATCATTTTAAAATATGATAACTATCAACAAAATATTTTGTGTTCGCATAGGAGATAATTGGTATTAGATTATCTAGTAAACAATGTTTAATAGCTCTCAATTTTCTTAATTTGTAGTATTCACTATTCATGATATTCAATTAGTTTAATACAAACTTTATGGTTCATAATTGTCTAATTATTTAAAAATAATTTGACCCACCAAAACCGTCAAACCCACCCACCATCCGCCGTCACCCACCCAACCCATCCACAACGATACAAATGGGTAGGTGTAGCTCATTTTTTCATCACCCACCATAACAATGGGTGGGTGGATTTTGTCCAAAAACCGAATCAACCCACCCATTGCCCATCCCTACCCACAAAACAAAATTTAGACAATCGATTCAACTCCCTCGAGTTAAACCCCGTAACGGCGCAATGTAACCAATCACTCTAAATTATGACACTCTATGGTAATTGAGGATTAGCTGGGAGCCTAAACGATAACATGGCATAGACAGGAAGAGAAGTAACCGATAACTATATAACAAATTCACAACTTCTTGGCCCATTAATGAAAGAGCTTAAGATTTCTAACCCGAATACGAGAAACAAGGGCATCCTCCACAAACCAACCAAATAACTGTTAAATATCGACATCCTATACCTCGTTTAAGATAGTATGCTTGATGAATTACATGGTCATAACATGTTTTGAAGATTGATTTGAGGTTATTCTATCACCAAATTCGTATGAAGGAGATGAATGGAAGACAACTGTTAAGATTTAAGACCACATAGATTCCATTTTTTTGCCTAAAAAAACAAACGTAAAAAAAAAATCTAACTATGAGAATGAAGTTGTTAGTTGGCATGACCGGAAAAATCACAAAGTAGTGAGGGCAAGATTGACGGAGGAATTGGCGATGATGACTCAGACGACAAGCCCTAGTGTCGACGATCTCATATGAGTTGATTCGAACGAATTCCCCTAATTGTACAATTTGAACTCGTTACCAAGAGTTTGTTCTCAAACACGTTTTATCATTACGACACAATTTGAAGTTTATGTGTTTATATGACTAAACCAATCAGTGAATTATATGTCCATAAACATTACAAGGGCATGTATGGAATCTTTCGATGATGCGGCAACGACGGGTAACGTTGATGGTGGTTGGAGATGTCAAGAGAGGAGTGGTCTAATCACCCTGGAGGCTGGCTATGAAAAGCGAAGAAGGTGTTGGTCTTGGAGATGGAACGAGGGAGCGCCTGGCGGAGCTGGATGATGGTGATAACCTCGGCTGATTCTTATTGTGGTCATCGGGCAAAATTGAAAGATTGTGATTCTCGTGGTAATTGGCACGGGAGCGAGAAAATAATAACAAAAGGCGAGGGAAACCCTCCTCGGCCCGTAAAAAACAGAGCAAGAACAGAAATAATACAACATAGACGAATTTGAAGAATCAAAAGATGACGGACGGTTGGATGGATGGAACAAGGGGCGACGGAGGGATAAATGATGACTGACTCACTCATTCACCTATTTCACAATAATAAAGACTAGTTTGTTACTCGATAAATGAGAGATAAAAGAACCACACGAAAAAAATGGAAGAAGCTACGACGACACCAACTGGAAGATAGACACAGCAGAGGGAGGTATTAAAGAGAAAGTGGAAAGAATATGGTCCTTCTTTTCTCTATTAACCTACCTATAAAAAAAGTGGAAAGAATATGGTGTCGATGTCTCAAACACATTTTAATCAAACCTGTCCATCGAAATTAAATTGATTACAAAATAAATGAGGTGGGGGTAATTTTAGAATGCCATTAAATACTGTCAAGAGAAGAAAAAAGAAATAGTCCCTCCTCTTTGGACAAGTGATACTCACCGATTTTTTATTATTTTATTCTATCAAATATGACTCGAGAAATTTGCGTTGAAAAATCCTCAATGACAGCACATGAAAGTTCAAATGGCGAGGATCATAATCTGATCACATAATTAATTTTCTCCAATATCTTAAAATACACAAGGTAAATGAGACTTTGACAGATGCATATTCTCGACACTTCTTAGTTTCCTCATTTTTTTAGCAGTCTAATAGATTTACTCCCACGATCTAATGAGAGAGTGATCTTACATGCCCAAATTCACCATTTGTACATAACCAATGTATTCATGCGAATTGTGCTCACGAAGAGTTGGAAGTTAAAACCTTTATAATAAAGACACAAAATAATCATGCTCGAATGCGAGGCATATCTGCGCCACCAGGCATGAGGCATGCATGTTATTGAAAAGGAATATTGGGTAGCTAAGTGGGATAAGTTCAGCTGACTATGGGATACCTTTAATTATGTGACTAATAAGTGAATTTCAGTTATTTAACCTCATTTCAATATAATGGTTTTAATTAATCTAATTTTAAGGATAAAGAATAATGTGGTAATTGCATAGCTTATTTAATTTTTTTTTTTTTTATAAGGGTGATATAGGTTTCTCTTTTTGTGATTAAAGTACTACTTAAGGGATTCGAACCTGAGACCTCCAGGTGTTAGACTAGTGGTATTACCACTAGACCAAGCCCTTGTTCGTATAGCTTATTTAATTTTTAACTATTACGCAATAAAAAAAAAGTCTCTCATCGTGCATGTCCCCTCCTCGCCTCCGCCGTTTTCCGCCCGTCCCTCTCCCTGATCGACGGCTTTCTTTGTCTCGTCCAAGGAGGACTTCTTCCTCTGCGCCTTTCCACAGAGAGTGATTCTTCCTTTGCGCATTCCCACAAATAGAGAGAGATTTCTGACTTCCGATGGCGGAGGAGGTTTTTTCGCCGACGGCGAAGGGGGATTTTCCGTCGACAGTACTGGATTTGTGATATTTGTTGGTCTATTTTGTAATGTTTATATCAATTCGCTTTATATTGTTTATCATTCTTGTTTGTAATGTTTATATGACTAATTTGTATCTTTTATAATTTGTAATGTTTGTTTGTCTGGTTTGTATACTTTACTTATGATTTGTATACTTTGTATTGATTGGTTTGTAATACAAGTTTATTGATTTGTATTATAAGTAGTGGTAGTTTGTACGGTTAGTATGCTTTGTACTGTTTGCCGATTTCTTTTATAATATTTGTAAGTTTTGTTACTTTTGTAATGCTTGTCAATATCTTTTGTAATGTTGGTAAGCTTGTTATTTTTGTATTGTTTGTCGGTTTCTTTTATAATGTTTGTAAGCTTTGTCATTTTTTTACCATGTTTGTAGTGTTAGATTAGATGACTAAAAAATAACATGATTGACTTTGGTACGGAACTCCTCTAAATAATAAATCTTAGTAAATATTTTTGAATGTGGCTTAAAACATTTACGTAATGTCATATGGAAACACAAACGTCTCTACTCTCTGGTGAATGTAGAATGAGACGAGATTCTCAAAATTAAGATTGAGACTTGGGTATCGTTGTGGGAATTGGGAGAGTGGTCGAGAAGGCTACTAACACGTATTTAGAAGCCGATTGGTCCACGGTTTGGTCGGGTAAACCACGGTCTACACCAGAGCAGAGCAGACTAAGAGATCAAAATATCATATAATACAGACTATGGACCAGACCAGACCATACTTAACAATCTACGGTCTGTACCAAACTGTGCAATTCGATTTGAACCATGATTTTTCAAACGGTCTGATCTATTTTCAATATTCAATAGAGAAGATGAATATGTCATTCTGCTTATGCCGCATTCAACCACGAGCAAATAACTACTTGTGGCCAAAGGAATAACTTTGATAATAGAATCAGGGCTCACAAACGACCTGGAAAATCACTTGCAAGATGCAGGATGTTATACATTCTACACTCACATATGACTATAATTTGACCCAATTCATTCTATTTCAATACTTTGTACATTCATAGACATTTACTGCATCTCACACAAAGTACATTATGATGTGCAAGCCGTTTCCTGATTCATGCAGTGCAGGTGTATTCAAGCTGAAGCAACATACATGGACCCACCCAACAGACTTATAAATCTGGATTCCTCCATATCCATTTCTGTACGCAGAAGATAAAATTTCTACCTCCAAATGACATTCAACCCTGAGAGCAAATATGGCGATAGGGCAAATCCTACTTCATTACATCCTACCTCATCTTCTCCCGAGAAGGTTGTTCCGCCTCGACTTGATTGCCTCCTCCCTCGAGTATCAATATTTGGTGCATGGTTGTCCAGACCACAAAAGGCTTCCTGGGAAGCAGTATGGTAATGAACTAATGATAGTGAAGCAGTAGATGGCCTCGATTCATATGCACGAGGATTATTTCTTGGAATACTTATCATAGTATCAGAAATATACCAGTGGTCTTACCCATAGTCCGACCATGATCTTACTTACTGACATCAGTGTGACATTATCCTACTCCATTAAACAAGTTGTAATTCTAATAGACTCTGCTAAAAACAAATAAGAGATGTGAAATCCCAACAACCGGCGACACAAAAAGAAACACAGGAGGAGAGGTGATCACATTAACATATCAGAACTCAGATTGATACTGAAAATGTAAATGTAGGCACGACGAACAACATCAGATTGTACTTATTATTAAGAATGTAGTACACCGGAAGAAAGGAGAAGAGAGTCAAGACAAGTAAAGCGCAAAGGAAAACAAGATCCCAAAAGCAAAACATGTCAGAGTATTGTCTTTGCAGCCAAGGAAAGGTTCTATTACCGAACGGGAACTGAATGAACCATGCAATGCTCTACAGAAGTAACTGCAAGTTTACTACTAAATGCAAATGAGACGATCTTCACACCTCACAGGGATAAGGATGGACTTAAAACATGCATGCGATCAAAGAAACCTAGCTCTTCCTTCAACAGCGAGACAGTTAAATTGATGCTAATTCGATCCGTAATTATTATCCTTGCACCAAAAGCTCAGTGTCCAACAGTAACTAAGACTCTGATACCTGTAAACTTGTCTATTAAACGCAAGAAATCGCCTAACAACTACAGAGAGATTTGACTAGCTCAGAATTAGATCAAGTACCTCGGCTTACACCCAGATCTCACCTCGCCTAGATCATAGATGAAGTTACTGAATGCATTTATCTAATCCTATAGCTAATAAACCAACAGCGTAGGTCACAATGGTGTTTCATGTAGAACCAAGGGAAATCATAGCTGTTAAATATCAATCTCATATCTTAAAACTGTACCAATACTATGACTGACCACAAACCACCTAGAACAACGTCTGCTTCTCCAGAATAAAAAACCAAAGCCTACTTGTAGGGACATTGCACGCAATGATGAAAAGCTCGCCCTAAAAGTTCAGCTTGGCACTGAAATACAAATACATCAATGGCCAGATACTGTCCAGACAGAGAAGTCAAATAATACATATGAACCCATCTGCGTAACAAGGTACGGCACAGGGTGATAACGATAACCAACTTGAAAAGATCTCTTCAACCGGGTAAAAGACTAGTATAACCCCCATTCTCTTGAAACTCTTATCCAGAAACATTGAATTTCCATTACCCGAACATCAATCCCTAAACCTCCACGATAACAATAGCCTTCATTTCAAACTTCGCATCTACGAGATAGATTTTCCAACTTTTCACTTTGGCTTCAAGAGGATCGATCATATCCATAAGCATAAATAAAAAACCCACGAGGAAGAGATCTCTGACATAAGAGGAGTTCAAATAGCTGTTATCCAACTCTCATCCCCAAAGCCTAGTGCCAAGCACTCCAAACTACTACTCTCCAAAATAAAGAATTCTTCTTAGGCTATGTACTTCATAGATATTGCCTAAGCTAAACGAGCAAAGACGGAAATACATATAAGCTTGGAGTCAAATAAGGTAATCGGAGGTAAAAAAACAAGCAGCTTCAGCTAATTGCTTGTCGATATGAAGCCATTTGCCAATTACCAACAAATGGCATTGTGCATTCCCAAGCCAAACTACCCATGACTGTAGTCAGGAACTGGGAGATATCATCTTCAAACATGACTTATGAAAGTCAAAAGCTTCGCACAATAGGAGTTACCATATGGTTATTATGGGGCTAACGGTAATAGTCACCCCCATATCCCCGTCCACGGCCATAATAAGGAGGATGTGGTCGGAACTGCAAGACAGAAAGAAAAGCATTTTGAATTAAATTCTTACACACTGGAAAATGTTGGATCATATAGAGCAGAGGAGCTTACATCAGAGCCATTGTAATCATGTGGGTATGGATCTCCTCCAACTGGATAGTTATCTACAACATAGAGCAATAGAGATTATCAGACAACTAGAGCTAGGGATGAACAATGATTTGGCCATGACCAGACTGAAACAGACCAAATTGACATATGGACTGAATCAGGTCGAATCAGCCTGGACCGTATATATCTCAATTTGGTTCTGCTCGTCAAATTGTTTTAACAAAGAATTTGGTTCCGGTTCCATAAATTATCTTGAAAAGAAAGGCAAAAGTGAACTGATTATGCTTTTGATCAGCCCCAATGCTGATTCAGTCTGATTCTTAACAGGACCATGCCCATCCCTTTAAGAAAAGTTTCAAGCGAAGGAAATAGAAATCAACAGAAAATTCTTACCACGATAGTGTGTTCCACGGTACGCGACAGCTGGATCAGGATAATCAAATCGAGGGCGGTATCGACTAGATTCCGCATAATCAGGTTCAGGATCCTGCAAACAAAGGAGGTTCACAATCCAGGGGACTACAAACAACTGTAGACATTTCCAACGGCAGCAATAACAAGCAACCAAAGATCACAACAGGAAAAGTACAAGGGCTTACAGTCATGTAAAATGGCCGCTTCGTCCCATGCATACCATCATGGTACAGGTAAGGGTCGTCATAGCGCCTTCCTCCATAAGGTCCATCAAAAGCTTCTTCAGCAAATGGTAGCCTCCTAAAATGAACCTGATCACTTGGTCCTCCCTCATTAACATCATGCCAAGTTCTATTTACAATGGGTCTAGGTGGGCCAGGAAACGGAACACCTCCACCAGCCGCTTGATAACCACCTCTTATAGGACCCCTTCCCCTGCCTTACGAGATATGCAAGTGTTAGATTGTAAATCGAATCGACTAGCTCGATTAGAAGAATCACAGTGGAAAGGGAGGCAGAGAGCGGGAGAGATGGAGAGTTAAGCAAACCTCGTTCAGCAGTTTGCCTTCCATGAAATGGATCGTATCTGTTGTTAAATCCATAATCCTCAGGACCCACTCTATAAGTTTGGCCACGTCCCCGTTGATAGAATCCCCTACCTCGCTGATTTGTCAAGTTAAACTGATTTCCTCCTCGCTGATTTGTCAAGTTAAACTGATTTCCTTCCCGGCCTGTAAAATAGTTTGAGATTATAAACAAATGACATTAATTCAGGTGATAGAATGCTCCACAACAAAGCTTACCAGATCTCTGAAAGTTTGCAGTATCGACACGGCCGGTGTGACCAATTAGAAAACCACCACGCATCCCTCCCTTTACAGCTTGAGTCTTAGGCGCAGGATTGGAAAGCCTTGCTCTTACTTTTGTCTGTCAGAATTCATAACATTCTGGCCAGTTATGATTCATGTTTCACATGTCTAAGCATCCTATGGACACTTAGTTTGGTGAGGAAAAGAGTCATTAAGAAAAATCTGAGTTTAAGGGAAACACAAGGACATGACTTCTCAAAGGAGATCGCCATAAGGAAGAGAAAGTTACTGCTAGCAAATTCATTCCTTGGCAAACAGGACAAAGAAAGAAACCACTCCAGCATGTTCAAGTAGTCTAGCATGTATCCAGCAAGAAAAACAGTAGGCAAAGGCATGTGAAAACAATACAAGAATAACACAAGTAGATTACAACACAAGACGAAAGACTACCTGTGTGTTTCCACCACTGCTTTCTGCATCATTTACTCCCTTAATACAGGCAATGGCAGCATCGTGAGTGGAGAAATCAACGAATCCAAAATCCTTTCTCTTGGCAGTGGGCATATTCCTTGCCAGTGCTATTCGTGTGATTTCCCCATATCCTTTAAGACGTTCTCTCACATGGTCTTCATCCCAGTGTAAAGGAAGGCCATCAAGAAATACTGTCTTCACCTCCGCCATTATTTGAGGGTCAGGCTCACTTATGGGTTCTGCAAAAGCTACCTTTGCAGTTCTCTCAGGATGACCAAAAACAACATCAGGCTTCTGGAGCCTTTTGTATGCCAGCATGGCATCAGCACGGCAAGAAAACTCGAGAAATGAAAACCCACGACTTCTTCCTTCGTGTTGAACATCAGAAACAAGATTGATGCTTTCAACGCCTTCTACACCATATTCCTTCAACTTTCGCCTTATCTGCACAACAGATTATCTCATGAATCAATGACAAATAATGGTTATCAGGCTTACATAATAATAAAGAATGTACTCACAGCTTCTTTTGTCCATGTGTTGCATATATTGCCGAGGAACAATGTGTCATTGCCCTCCCTTGGAGCTGTGCCACATCTCTTTCCACAAATCTAAGAACAAATGAATGTCAGAACAGAAACTTAGTCAGAGTATGCTAAAATACAAGTGAACAATACCTACCACAGGATTTTTCATTTCTGACAAAGCTCGCTTAACATGCTCCTTGTTGGAAAACCTCACAAATGCATACCCTCTACTCTTGTCTGTTGAAAAATCTTTGTGCATTCGAACTTCAACTACTGGACCAACATATTCAAAAGCCTTCTTCACATTTTCTTCAGTAGTATCCATATCCAGACCGCCTACAAAAATCTCATACTCTTTCTTAATTTTGTGTTCTTCTGCAACAGCAGTTAGTTGCTTATCTTCTTCCTCCAATACAACAGCATTATCGCCAGCACGTGCCTCCTTGTCATCCACTATGAATTCACTCTGGATAGGATCTTCCAACTCCAGGCGATCCCCATCACAAGCAGAGACTTCTTTCCCTGATGGAGTATTTCCTCCTTCAATCTTATTCTCCTTACTTCCTTCTGGGTTAAGACTATCAGCTTTACATTGCTCCTTGTCATTAACACTTCCTCCCAGATTCTCCTTTGGGACCTCCTTCACATCTTTACCCAATTCTTCTTTTCCCTCGTTATTGGCTGGAAATGTAGCAGACAAGTCGAATTCAACAGACTTTTCTGCTTTCTCAATAGATCCGTCAAGAGAATCAGCAGAAGGATGAGAATCCTCTGCAGACCTAATAACAAGTTCTTCCACTTCACCTACATTGTCCTCCCCTTTCACTAGAGATTTCACTGCAGTTTGTTCCATCTCAGAGGAATTTTCCACATTTATACAATCAGATTCCTCTTTATTACAAGAGTCAACATCCTTCAGCCCAACCGTCACCACTTTCGTGCTTTCTTCAGTCACAGCATTAAACGCCTCTTCTGCCTTCTCACCACTATCTTCTTCTCGGACTCTGGTGCCCTCTTCTTCAGTCTCCACCTTAACTGGTTCTGCTGCCATCTCAGCACAATCTTCTTTCAGGACTTCAGAGCTTTCTTCTATAGTCTCTATCTTAGCTGGTTCTGCTGCCATCTCAACACTATCTTCTTTCTGAAGGTTAGAGCTTTCTTCTTCAATCTCAGTCTTAACTGGTTCCACTGATTGCTCAACATTATCTTCTTTTGGGACTTCTGTGTTTTTTTCTCCAGTCTCACCCATAACGTTTTCTACCGCTTGCTCAACACTGTCCTCTTTCGGAGTACGAGGTGTACCCACCTTCAACTGTTTTTTCTTCACCATCTTCACAACTTTCTTCACTACCCTTCTTGTCCGCGGAATAGTTTTTGCATCCATCATGACAATGTCTGTATTGTTTGATACTTGAGCTTCTTCAACTGATAGGCAAAATCACTCAACTTAAGAACCATCATTCACTAAAAGAAAACTAATCTTTCTATAGCCTGAACTTACAATTGAATGTGGGCAACTAACTAATTCAGTACAGATTACCAGAACTTGGAAGAAACCCGGTTTTACCTGCTGATTGATCCGGTTCCGAATCAGGAACGGCAGTTGGAGAAGGTGGTTTATCTTCGTCCATGGTCTGCTCGGATTTACCTGGCAAGCCGGGTTCCGGTTCAGAAGCTTTCGGAGCTACCGATTCCACTGCAGCATCAGGCGTCGTCACAGAAGTGTTTTTGGCGGCAGTTTTTCTGCTCGCCGGAGTTCGTTTAGGCGTTGTCGCCGGTTTAGCAGTATCCCCGTTTCGCGTCCTCATCGTGCACTTCTAAGGCTATTGTACTGCAATTTCAGGGACCAAATCAAAATCAAAATTGTTTCTTCCTTGAAGGCGAAGAACCAGATTGAAAACATCACAATGGAAACAGAGAAATCACACACTCGATTCCCACGAATCCCACCATTAACAAAAATTTGTAACGAAGGGCTGCAGAGACACGGAAAGCTGAATGAGTAGCAACAAGATTAAGAATTCGGAACTTACTTCTCCAATGACTTTTGTTCAGCTCGCGGAAGTAACCCGATAACGGAATTTGCAGGAGAGGAGTTGGGGAAACTGGAAAAAAATGACGAGCAAAAGCAAACCCCTAGGAATTGGGTAATTTCGTATTTCCGCCAGTACATTGAAAGACTTGTTTACCCTTAAGTCGAACATAGTCGATAGAAGGCTAATACCACTAGGGCTGGAAGTTTGGTACCGGTATCTGGGATAATACCGAATACCGTACCGAATTTGTCTATATTTGGTATTACCGAAGATACGTTTCTTGGGATTGGGATTGGGATTGAATTTCAATTGTAATTCGGTATTAGGGATTATGGGATTGGGATTGGGATTGGGATCGGTATAATACCGAAATACCGATCAATAAAATATAAGTTAGTGTGTATTTTATCCTCTCAACTAGACTCTCTCATTCACTACTACACAACCCTCAACCACCAAGAATGTCATTTAATTATACATAGATCATTTCATCTTTGTTTCACAACTCAAAAGTCCACATCCAATTCAATTTTGACTTTTCAATTTAAGTCACTCTCATCTCGCACCTAATAACTTGTAATTTTCATAACACCAAAAAGCAAACACTAGTATTAGTCGACTATCAGCTTTGAATTCGTCAAATTAATGATTACTAATGACAAGAACTTGAGATGTCACCTCTCCTTCATTCTCCTTGCCCATATCCTAGCTCTAGAAACACTCAAGACTCTTTGCTTAGTCTCTTTGCCCTAAATTAAACAATCAAATCTAGTTTATATATTTAATTATTTATTTCAAATATAATTTATTTCGTATTCGATAATACCGATTGGGATACCGAAGTACCGATTGGGATACCGTAATATTTAGGGATTGGGATACCGAAATTATTTAGGGATTGGGATTGGGATTGACTTTCGGGTATAATTCGGTATTCGGGATTTCGGTATTTGGGATTGGGATACCGATACCGTACCGATTTCCACCCCTAAATACCACTACGACACCCGAACTATCCAAAAATGTCACTTGTGTTCTATTGTTTTCAATATTCTATCTGTGTCCTGAACTATGATACTTTGTGCCATTTGTATCATGTCGGTTCTGTTGACCGTTAAGTCTTAATGGTTGACCAGACAATGTTTAAAACGACGTCAGATTGCTGCCTAATTTATTATCTTCTACTCTTTCTTCTTCTCTACCCAGCCAAAGTCCCGAACTTGGTTTACTCGAATGTGGCTTTCGAAGACGACGACGCGATGTTGTGTTTGAGCAGGCGCATATGGAGAAGTAGCGAGGGCGGGGCTTGCGTTGCGTCGGCGCATAGTGGGTGTCGTAGTAGTGGCGGTGAGGAGCCACGAGGAGCTGAGGTTGGTATTTGTGTTGGGGCGAGGAGATCCGACTGTGAAGACTCACTTTGCGAGGAATGTCAATTCGCCAGAAAAGAGCCTTACCATTTATTAGGTACTATACTAGTTCATTTTGGTAATTCAGGGTGTTTGACCCGGATTAGTACCGGGGGATTAGTGTGGAACCTTGATCCAGGCTCCATCGTCTGATCTCCTCGGGAGTGGAAGAATCCTGTGAAGAGTCGGGGGCGGCCCCCGGGATCTACACTCCAATGCCCAAGTTAGAATAGGATATATAATAGAGTGTAGAGAATGTAGAGAGAGATAGAGTTTAGAGAGAGAACCATAAGTGGTAAAGTGAGAGAAGGGAGAGAAGTCCCCTTGCTTGGAGGGTCTGACCTCCTTATATAGGAGTCAGAGGCATCCTGTGGACGCCCCAGGTAGACTGGACGCCTTCCGTCGATGGACGCCTTCCGGTGGTGGACGCCTCCGGTGGTGGACGTCTCCCGGTGATGGACGCCCCCCGGGTGGACTGGACGCCTCCCGGTGTATTGGACCCTAGAATGGGCTTGGGCCCAAGGTGAGATGCTTTGTGGTGGACTTGGGCCCGTATTAGGCGGGTTAATACTAGACCCAACACAGGGTTTCTTTCAATTGGGGATTTAGTGTCCTATTTTCGTGGCAGCAATTCAAACATGTCTAGAAGAGGCTCGCAAAGCATTTCTAGGTCGAATTCATCAAACTCATGTACCATTAAATGTCGGCATAATATACTAGCTTTTTGTATGTTTCACAAACTGAACTGAATCCGGGGAGGCAGTTCTATTGCTGCCCTCATTGGCATGTAAATGAAGTAGTGGTTTGTTTTTTATTTCTAATTGAGATGGGCAATGATCTCACCATGGCTTGATTTCTACATGGCAAAATGAGGAAGAAAGTTGTCGTTTGTTTATTTAGGTTGATACTCTGAACGAAGACAACGAAGGTGCTTGCTCCAATGGGGTTTTTGGAGGGAATGAACATATCAGGTCAAACCTAGGTTTGATGGACTTGCACACTGAAAGCTTGAAAGAGAGTTTAAGGGTTGCTGGAGAAAAAACAGTGCGAAGGAAGAAGGCTTAAAATTGTTGTATGGTGATTTAGCTAGCATTAGAGAAGAGAATGCTAGGTTGATTGAGGATTTAAGGTTGGCCAATATACGTCGGTTGTGTGTATTGGTCGTTTTAGCAGCCTTAGTGATAGGGATAGTTATTGTAGTTTTGAATTCCTCCAGCATGTTCTAATCTGTTGTTGTTGTAAGCAATTGTACGAACCTTTCTATGTTATTTATCTAATGGGATCTTTCGTTGTATTTTAACTTGCATCTAGTGTCTATACCAGTTTGTGTGTTATACTTAAGTAATCAAAAAGCAGGCATCATCAATTCACAAAAACTGGACTTACCAAATAGCTGCTTTTACATTCACATAAACATGTCATTACCAAGGTACCTAAAATGTCGTCCCTTAAGGTACCTAAAATGTCTTCACATAAGTACATAATAATGTCGATCCAATGTTTACGAAATATACAACATTCCCATGGATCTACAAGTAACCTACCATACAAAAGGTTGATCCAACTTCAATGTCACAACTGAAAACGAATACCACAGATCTGCTAGAGGTAGGCTACTATACAAAAACCATACACATTCTACTGCCATCTAAACTACTACTGAGGTTGAGAAGGTTGCGTGGCAGGTGGTTGAGATCCACCTTGATCTATCTCAGTAGGAGTTGCATTCTGAAGGATCCTTCCACTTCTTAGCGTTCTGCCACGTCCATTAGCACCATTGAGGATGACATAGGTATTACCCAAATCCGTTGAGGATGACATAGGTATTACCCAAATCCGTGTGTAGAACTCCAATCCCTTGGTTAGCCTGCACACTCGTGTATGGAGGTAACATATTAGAGCAAACATGCACAATCAAATAAACATCAAATAGAATAGTAAGGCTATGTATTCAACTTATTCACATACCATCCTAACCTCCCTTGCTAAATCACGCCTACTGGTCACTTCACGATTAACGAAGGCTTCCTATTAACATATACATTAATCGGATTTCATGTTAAAGGCCATTTCAATTATATGCTTCATCTCATAATAGACTTACCTTGATTCCGCCAGTTAAGGGACATGTCCTTGCATTGTGGTCATCTCCTTTGCATTTGGAACACAAACCTCTGCTCCTTCTTGCAGCTGGAGTAACTGGAGCAGCAGTGGTTTTCAACGGCCTCCTTGAACTGCTCGGGGTTGTCAAATGTCATGCCCACAACCAACTTGAGGGTTGAATGGTCACACATAGGGTCATATCGAGGTACATTTTCTAGAGGGATACCTTTGTCTTCGTCATCAATGTTGCCCCTCACTTGGTGTGACTCAATTGAACCCCTGTAGGCTGAATCTTGCACAACCCTGTCCATCAAGTCTTCGTCAACACCCTCACTCGCACCACTGGTCTCACTGTTACCTCTGCCTTCATCCACAAGTGGGTCACCATCAACAAACAAAGACTCTTGCTCGACCTCCTCCCCGGTTCGATCAACACGAGTACGAACTCGCGTGGTCTGACTCCTTGCTCCTCCATTGCAGCAATGAACTCATCATCCGAAGTTCGGATATCATCATCCATGAGATGGATAATGTCTCAGTTTTGTGAGTTATCCCCATCCTCCGAATCACCATCATCAGATAACTCTTCTCCAAGTTCTTCATTGTCACCGATTTGAGTTTCTATTGCTTCCATGAATATGATAATTTTTCCATATTCTATGGATGGGAGCAAGTCATCCATCACCTCACTATCAGACCGTATTTCAACTATACCATTATCCAAAGTGTCGGAGGGTGCCATGTACCACAGCTTCTCAACCCTTGCGTAATCGAAGTGGACTGTTCCAATTTGTTGGAGTTGGAAGAATGAGACATAATCTATGTCCATGTCAACAGCCTCTGACTTTCCATTTATATAGCGAATGCCATCATCATAATAATGCATTTTCCCACCATGATGGACTATCAACTCCACCAATGTCGACATCCTGCAAAACCAAACAATCCCCCTTTAACAATAGCCTAAATTCATCGAATTCATACATTAAGCATACTTTAACCACCCCTAATTTTCTATTCCGTAAAGCATTCCACAAAGCAACTATAATACAACTTTGCATCTGGAAGACCACTAACCCGATTCCCAACTCAATTGAATAATTCGACCCAAGACAATGACTTCTCAACCACCAATGTAAATGACCAATACATACTAATTTCACACATATCATACCTGTTACTAAAGTGGCCAAAGGGTAAAGTACTCTTCACACTATCCTCGTGGTCCCTGCTATTCAATCTTTTCCCAGCGAATCTCCAACTATAACACCAACGAAACAGCTACGCCATTTACCCCTTTGTACTAGTTCTGACACCTTCTTTGCTTCCCAACCACCCAGTCATCCTTCAAATACTTCCAACACTCCAGAAAAGAGACCACTAAGTCTCGCACAGAAACCCTAGAAATTTTTGGGGAAACTTAAATCCCACAAATCAGCGCCTTCTTCTTCATGGCTGCTCGAATCCTTCAATGGTAGACGATTTGAAGGCTGTGAATGTTCTAGGAGATGTCCAGAAGAAAGAATCGGCGATGGTGGTCGTGGGTCGAGCTTCGTCAGACGGAGGAGGCTGAAGAAATCGCCCTCTCCTCG